CCCACCCCTCTGGCCGCTTGCTACCCCCCACCTCCCTCTGCACAAGCTGATATGCCTGGGCCCTGCACGCCCCTAGGGGCAGCTCTGATCAAGGTGGTCTCAGTATGGCTGAAAACTTCATTTCTATGGTACCAGATCTCATTAATGGCTGTGCCATATGCTTTGCCCTCCCTCTCGTGTTCATTAGCACAGCAGCAATCCTTATATCCCCTCCTAATGCCTCAAACATTGGACATGCTTCTCAGCCTGGACAGGCATAGTTCAGTTCCTGAGTGCTTTGCGAAAAGCTAGTGAGCAGAGCAAAGGGAATCCTTCCGAGGTTATGTGAAGCCTTTCAACAGTACACAAGTACCCCCATGCACATCTTGTTCCATGCATAACATTTAGCAGCTTCACAGATGCCTCATTTTCCATAGTTCACAACAGCCTCACACAACAGCTTCATTTCCCACTGCACTCACAGCTGATAAAGGAGAATAGACTCTCTGGGCCTTTACACTCCGAGTTGACATATTCTCAGGCAATCTAATGAAGTGTCAGCTCCCATCAAACCACACCGATTCTTACAGCTTGCTAGAGGGTTATGAGTGTCTGAAGAAGCCATTTCCTTTAAAATTAAACCACTGTCAACCTGAGAACCAACATCTGTAATCACAGCTGGCTTTTTTTTTTAATGGTATCCATAAGCCAACATGAGAGTCAAATTATTGGTCCCCAGCTCACATGGACAGAGATATAGGCAAACAAATATGGCACAAAGATCTCGGGTAAACAAAAATGTCAAAACCCTGCATATAAGGCAGGGTTTTATTACAGAAGACCCCGGAGTTAAGTCTGGAGGAGCACTTTACAGTTAGCATTTCAGAGCTATACAAAAAAGCACCAACAGGAAAATGAAAAAAATATGTTCAGTGAGGATGGTGCAATAAAGGATGCAATTTTTTCTTCTTTGTGTCAAGAGACATGTTCAGTATCAGAGCCTTTAAGGAACACTGCATGCCCTGCTCTCTGCTTGCTGGGTAACCCTAGCTGCTGAGAGGGTACCCTGAGGTCTGATAACTTCATATATAAAATATATGGATAGACTTATTAATTCTGGAATAAAAGATCCCATGGATATGTAACTGCCTCATGTCATTTAAATAGACAACGAAGAGAAACTCAGACAACACAACCTCTGTAGAATTGCTTCCGAAATTGCTTTGCAACCTTTGCCACAAGGAATCAGTGGGCCCAGAATACAGCAGAAGCTGCTGGCAACTCAGGACCGTTATCCCGTGATGCAAGGCAAATGAGGAACCAAAGTTATCCCTTCTGTTTTCAAACTAGTATATGTAAACTTGCAGGAGTCAGTACTTATAACACCCTTCGGGCATCAGAGGGCCTCTACCAGGTATCTATCCTAACCCATGTTAGGATAAATAAGCTAAAAGCTGTGGATAAAAGTTCCCACCTTTTACAGAGAATTGAAGCAAAACCTGCACCATACAGGCACTGAATATAGCAGGGTAGAACTCAGTTCCCACCTCTGCCATTCTCTCTGACTTTGGGCAAATCACTTCTGTCTCTTCCACATGGACTGAGCTCCTTCATTTGGATACGCTATTACAGGAACAGGCCAGCACAGTATGCTGCAAAACTGAAACTGTCCCAAGCAATTTATAAATGCTTCTCTCCCCCACCCAACTGATCTCTCCACTTGTCAACTATTCAGTCAACTCAGGCTTCATTCCCTATTGTTCTAGCCTCCATGTGCATCCTGCCAATTATTACCACCCATTTCTCACTGCTGACATTTTAAGATGTCTGGAAGTAAAAGGGTTAAGGCTC